TAGAGCGACGCCATAAAGGAATGTATGGAATAAAGGGAAAGGGGAAGAAGAAAACCGAACAGGGTGGTGGCTCGTCCTGACTGAATGGAAGAGTTGGAGAGGCCTGAAGAATTCACGTCCCCATTTTTTTGTATGCTTTTTAATTTGTCGTTTTTATTTTTATTTTTATTTTTATTTTTATTTTTATTTTTATTGCGTGGGGTATGTGTAATGTTTGCCACTCCCAATAAGGGTGTGTGTGATTCTTTTCTTTTCTCTTCCCTTTTCCCTATTATGGCAACTTGTAATGTGTGTATGTGGTTATATATATGCATCTTGACTCACTTTGAGCACTTGCACCCCCCGAAGAGGGGCGGAGAGAATTAAAAACAAGGCATCAGAAGACACACGTGAACCCCTTAAAAGGTGAATGCATTGTTCATGAGGAAAAAGGGGGGGGGGGGACAAAAACATATAAAGAAAGGGAAAGAGAGAGGCGTCTTTTATGTTTTGTTTAACAAAAACAGAAGAAACAACATTAAAGAAACGCTTGCAATGTGTATTTCTGTGGGTCGTGTGGCTCTCTCTGTGTGTAGGTGGTGTTTCACTCTTTATGGTAGCTGTACACATCTGTAACGAATGAGAATCTCACTGAGACCACAACTGCATGCGTGAGCATGTATGTATTTAGGTGTGCCTTTGTGCTGCACCAATGCAGAACGAGGTGTTTCTCACTTTTTCAGGTCTTTTCAATATTCCCCTATTTCTTTCCGTTTTGCTTTTTGTTGGGTTTCTTGTGATGGGCCGGTGTCGGGCACTGACGATTGGGGGAAGAAGGGGGAGAAGAGGAATAGGTTTATTTTATTTTAATTTTAATTTTTATTTAGAGGGCGGCGCAGGAAGAAAAGAATATGAGGTTTCGCATGTTCTACGATTTTCTGCAGCTCCAGCGCTGGGAGCGGGATGTGTTATCGAGGGACTCGCGTCGGGAGGGTTTTTTTGTTCGTGCCTTTCGCCGAGTGCCGTGGTCGGGAGTCGCCATGTTTTTCTTCATCATGGTCTTTTTTGGCGTCGACCTTGGCGCCGGCATCAAACACACCGCCAGCCAGATACGCGAGAAGAAGGAGGAGGCGATGCAGTCCGTGGAGCTCCAGAAGGTGCAGGCGCGGCAGTGGTCCGTGGAGCAGGTGAAAAACTTCCGCGAGGGGGAAATACCGAAGCCCTCGTGGAGTGAAGGGGGCCCACGCAGGGCGTCCTCGTCGGTTTAGCGGCCACAGTGTGTGCGTGTGCGTGTGTGGGGTTGCCGTGCGCTTTTCTAGGAATGGCGTGAGCGGCAGTAGACTGAGAAACGTGCAGATGTGCGGGGCGCATCTTTTTCGTGACGGTTGCGGGTGTCAAAACGACAGGATGTGTGTGTGTTGTGAGTGATTTTTTGTTAGGTTGGTGGTTTGCTTGAAGGGGAATGCGAAGGGCAATGTTGGGCCTTTTTTTTTTTTTTTTTTTTTTTCTCCTCGGGTGGATGTGGTGCCCACGATAAATGGGTGCGAGGAGGGGTGGTGACATTATTCCTTTTTTTCTTTTTTTTTTTTTTTTTTTGCCGAGTTTTTTTTTTTTTTTACTTTTGTGATTCATTTTTAACCCTTTTTTCTTTTGGTCTGCCGCGTTTGTGCGGAGTTTTCATGCATATTTATTTATTTATTTATTTCACTGGCACCACTCACGCCGAGTCAAGAAATTTTTATTTTTTGGTTTTTGGTTTTCTTGCTAGTGTGCACTGCGGAGGAAAGAAACGTTGGAGGGGAAATTCCGGATACGCGGAGAGAGAGAGAGCGAGGCCGCCTAATGCTGTCGCGTGTGATCAAAGACTTGTACTATTTGAAACGCATCCACAGCGTCGTGCTGGACGAAAAGCTCGGACGTGCACTGAAGGCGAAGCTGAGTGCATTGGACCTCCGCGATGGTCCCTCCCCCGGCCCCACCGCACTTCGCCAGTTGATGGAGTGCTTGGTGCACTTTCAGCTTGAAAGCAGCCCGGTGACGGTGAACGCGATTGCCCTCGTGCGTGAGGAGCTTCCGCGGATGACAGGCAGTCAGCTTTCTTTAACCATCGCCGCATGTTGTGCGCTCGGTCAACATGATGTTTCCGTGTCTGCCGTGTCATTGCTGGTGGAGGCGTTGCCCAGCATCGAGTGTGCGGGAACCGTACAACTCATTCAGTCTCTTGCAGCTGCCGGCGTGCGGCATGAGGACACGTGGTCAGTTATTGCAGAGCACTGTGTGAGACGCATTGATAGTTTTACGGGGCGACAACTGTATCGCATTATTGAGTGTTTTTATGAGCGAAAAGTTCAATACCCGGATTTTTACGTTGTGGCCGAGCGTCACATTTGTTCACAGCCGTCTACGTACATCTCGATGGAACACTTAACCGGCGTCATTGAGTGCTACAGGGGGCTTGGTCTTCCTGTTGTGTCACTTCTGGCCGCTAGTTCCACCCGTTCAGCGGAGGGATTTGACAGCGGTCTGGTGGCGGTGGCCCCCACGAGGACAAGGCGAAGTCATCGCGAAGGCGGGAGCCTCACCCCAGCAGGGGGGGATGGGCCGTCGAACCATGCCGTGATGGCCACCTTCTTGGAGTCGGCATTGAAGGCCATGAAGGTGGCCGATGACCCGCAACTTAGCGACATGTTGCAGAAGTGTGAGGCAAAACATGTGATGCATGCAGAGATTATGGAGGCGGCGGCTTTGCGGCTGAGTGAGCTGCACGCATCGTCCCCGAACTTTTCAAGAACGACCGCACTTATAAGACTCATGATGCGTTTCCACAAAAAGGAATGGTTTGTCTCTGCTTCCCAACCGCTCTCTCGACTCTTGGATGAGTGTGCCGAGAGCGCCATCCCTGTGCTTGGGCACCGTATGCTTTTGTTGGCCGACGGCGCATTGAAATTGTTTCCCGCAGAGGTACAACCAACGCAGTTCTACGCCGCTTTGGTTCGTGACCTCAAGTTTGACGACGTAGCGGCAAGTATGAATGCCAAGCGGCTGCCGATTGTTGCGGGAGTCATGATTTCTCTCCGTGCATACGGGGGTCATGCACTGCTTGAACAACACATGTCTATGATGTCAGTCGCGGCGGCAAACGCGCCACTACGAGTTCAGGTGGAGCTTGCCGCCATGCTGGCGCCGCTTCCAGCCGCACGAAAAGCTTTTCTTTCGGATCTTTTTCAGTCTCTCTCTTCACAGAAAAATTGGGTGCGTCTTCTCACAGCGCGTGAGGCAACTCTTCTTTTGGAGGGCCTTGCTCAGAGCCGTTTGCCGTTCAATGACTTACTGCTGGTGGTGGTGGAGTACACCAGGGAAAATCCTGGCCGATTCGACACCCCGGATTTGGTCAATGTCCTTCTGCGGTGCGCGACGCTGGGGTTTAGTGACATTGAGTTTTACTCCACCACGGCAACACATATTCTGGAGAAGAAGTCAAGGACTACCGTACATGATCTCTGTTTGCTAATGTACGTTTTCACTTTTGTCCTGAAAGGTGTGATTCGCGTCGTGCAACAGATGTTACCTCGTTTACGTGTTTCGGCAAGCCACACAAGTCCACGTGACATCACGTTGGTGCTTTACAGCACGGTTAAACTTGGCATCGCTCGTCACACAGAGGTGACGACGCCTTTTTGTGATCGTGCGGTGAACATTATTACTTCCTTCAAGGGTGAAGAATTGGCCAGTTGTATGACTTCTCTGCGTGCCCTTCGGTTTGACCACGAGGCTTTTCTCTCAGCTTCGGCCGAATTGCTGGGCGCGGAGTTGTCACGTCGTGAGGGCACCGTGAGGGACAAAGAAGGGGTTCCACTTAACGACACGCAGGTGATTTCGATCACGAGCGCCATTGTACATTTGCGCCGCACTTTATTACGGACGGAGTGGCACGTGCCCCTTCAGCGCATCTGCTTTGGCTGCCTTTCAACGGCGTCTGCCACTCAGACGCATCAAATCGCCGTTGTAACGGCGGCCCTCGACGAGGCACCGTGCTACCCAGAGCAGTGGGATAAGTTACTTCAACACGCCAACGAAGTCTGCCGTCGATTTCAAAATGGCACCATCACAGCGGAGGTTCTTCTTGCCATCCACGATCTCATTCCACTTGACGGCGCTGACGACCGAAAGGATGCACTTTTATCTTCCCCGTTGTTTACCTGCTCGCAGAGAAATCTGGCGGATATCATGGCCAACACAGAGCTGCGTGACAGATTGCGCAGCAAGGGACTGCTGGCCCTCATAGCGGGTGTTAGCGCACCGTTCCATGTTGATGAGGCGGAGCGCACCTTATCTTGCGGCGTTCCACTGCGTGAGTCTATGCTGCTTCATCACAAACAAATGCGACAGGTTGCAGCAACTGGGGGATCGAAACGCAGTAAGAGTCGTGCTCTGAAGCCAACGTCTATAAAGGCCTCGGCAAAGTCGAAATCCGCGCGAAAGAAGAAGGAGAAAGATGAAACAGACACCAGGACTCACACCCGTCGTCGTGGTGTTCCGTCCGGTAAAATGCGTGCGGGGACCACCACTAGCAATGGGGATACTAGTATGGATGATGATGATGGTGAGGCGGTGGGTGCAAAGAGCTCCACTCAGACGAAGAAAAGGGATGGAGTGAAGAAGCATTTCATTGACTTTGGCGTGGACTCCGAGGCGAATGTGGAGGAGTTTCGTATTTAGGCCAGCTTCCACCTCCTTTCCTTTTTATCTCCCTGTGTTTTTATTTTATATTATGAAATATATGTCTGCACGGCATTTTGTTTCCTGTGCTTTTTTGTTTGGTTCATCCTTAAATGTGCTTGGATGACAACTTTGACTCCGCCGACTGTGCGCAGAGGCGTATTTTTTCCCGCTTTCTCTCTCTTTTTTTTTTTTTTTTTAGCGTTTAAGGAGAGGGGTGTGTGTGTGTGTGTGTGTGAAGGTCAAAAGGACACACATGAGGAGGAGGATCCGTAGAGAAGGATGGCCTGGCGTTGCAGTTCCAAGAGTTTTGTTGCATTTCACTTTTTAATCTCATCATTAAGGGTGCAGTAACGTCGTCTCCATCTTGTCCCTGTGGCTGTGAGGGGAGGGCGGGGCGACTGATTGCCATTGTGCCTGAGTCATGTGAGAGAGAAAATAACCCGCAATGGGAAGGGGCCACCGGCAGTTTTTCATTTATTTTTATTTCTTACTTTTTACTTACTTTACTGCTTGTTTTTTTTTTTTTTTCACGTGGTATGCATTCATATGTAGACCAACTTCTTTCTCTTTTCTTTTTCTTTGCTCTGCGGCGCTGCAGTGTTGTGTAGGCGGAGGTTTTTTTTTGTTTTTTTTTTTTTAGTTGATGCTTTTGCGACTGGTTCTGTACGTGGATGACGTGCGCCTTCCTTTGGACATGAGGGACACGTGCATGCGCGCCCACAACATGTCGGAGCTAGCAGGTTACTTGAAAAAAGTACTGCATCGGCCCCCAAGGGTTATTTTGTACTGGAACTTTGAGCACAAGCGGTACGAACTGCTGACATCATTGCAGACTCTTCTGCAACGGCACAGTAACGGCGATGCTGCCCACGATGTAAATGCGGACGTTGCCGTGTTGGCACATTTGTGGGTGGAGACGAGGCCGCCGCGGCTAGACCCTGTGGACCCGGATTCGGATGTCGAGGAATACGCGGAGCTCAAGAACCATCTGCAGTGTTGGGCAGGGAATAAGTACGTTATGTTTTGTCTTCAAAGTGCCTTACGCGTGACCGACCCGAGGAATGAACGTTTGTTTGACGATTTACGGTGTGCACGGATGGGTGGTGACCCCGAACACGTTGAACTCCTCTACTACACAAATAATTCCCTTGGTAGCAGCGAGGTGCTGCAGCGCGGGTTTGAACGGGGAGGAGAGAGCGGTTTGAGCCCGGCACCACTGAACTCCGCCTCGCCAGCCACTGCGGATGCACGGCTGCCGCCTCTGTTTGTCTTTTCCTCCTCCATGAAGGACCAGGACGACAAGGAAGTTTTTCCTTCTGAGCCGCACAAAGTTCTCTTGTGCGAAGTCGCGTTGGGCCGCGTGTGGTTTTCTGATGTTCCACTTTCGAAGGGAATTGAGGCACCGCCATCCGGCTACGATAGCGTGTGCTACCGTATGGAGAGGGAGGACGGGGGCATTGTGAAGACAGTTTGCGTGGGAAAAAACTTTCAGGCCTTGCCGCGCTACGTGTTGACGCTGGTCGCGAAAAAACGTGATCGCCGGGAAAAAGTTTTTTGTGGCATTCACACTGGCGCCGGTGTCTCGCCGGCACCAAGCCCAAGTCGTCGGGCGGGGAGCGTTGGCAGTCATCCGTGTGTAAATACTGGAATTACATCACCTGTGCATTCCTATCCGAAAAGGACCGCTTCGGCACCCCCGCTGGTGAATGGGGGGCGAACGCGCTCTCAGTTGTTCTCCACCATTGTCCATTGTGCTGTGCACAGCGGCATACTCTTGGGGCTCTGGTGCTCGACGTGTGGTCACGTCATTTGCCCGTACTGTGCCTCCGTTGGTGACCACCGGGGTCATGAGGTGGCAGGTGTAGAAAACGTTGTGGGTGACGTGCGAGGAAGAGTACGGGGGCTTTGCCATCGACTTTCCGTGCAGCTTGAAAATTACCAGCGCGTTGAGTCTCAGCTTAAGTCGCAGCGGACGGAACTGCTGGAGAAGCATAAAGCGGCAACGTCTGCGGTGGAAAAAGCCTTTTCTGACCTGCGGCGCCTTATTGAGATCAAACGACGGGAATGGATAGCACGTCTGCACGAGCATACCCGCTGCCTAGATGAGCCTCTGAAGGAGGTGGGGCACGTTGTGCAGCAGTACACGAGGACCATCCAATCGTTGGAGCATTCATGGGAGCGAGCAGGCGGACAGTGCTTTTCTTTTGTGGATGCCGAAGGGGATGTGCCTGCTGCGGTGGTTATTGTCACTTACTTGATAGAGACGTCCAAGCTATTGAAGGAGGGACTTTCTTTGGCAGGGAAGCGCCATGACGAGGGGTTGATAAAGGCGGCCAATGCATCTAAACTACTTTTGTCCAATGAGGCCACTCTTTTCCATGTTGATCTCTCAACCGTGCGCCGGAGCGTCGAACAGCTTCTTTCTGAAAAGCGTGCGGATCCTTCCAAGAAATCTTTGGCAGCGGCTGTATCAGCTGTTAAAAGTCCAGGGACGCATCCTGTGTCCTCCGAAAAGAAATTAACAGGCGGTATTTCCGGGCAATTTGCTACCGCAACGCCTCTGCCGTCATTATTGTTGCCACGGGCCGATGGGAAAATGAATGAATTACCGCACGATGATCCCTTTTTGGATGCACAGAGCACAGCACGACAGCAGTTATTTTCGCGGCGCTTCTCAGATGTTTGTAAAGGGTTTATTTGGTGTTTGCGCAACGTAAGTAATTACTTTCATCATGGCCAACGTCGAGCGGTATGCTCTGGAACATTTAATTTGATGGGTTTTCAGTGGGATCTTCGAATCCAGGCTCCAGATGCGATGGCGAGGGATGGCACAAATGCCAGTCAAACCGAGCATTCTGGCGAGGATGAATCTGTTGGGCTTTTTTTGTATCCTGTCGGCCACACACAGCGTCTGGACTTCCGTGTTTCCGTTTTTTCAGCGGTGTGCTGGGCGGAGTGGGAGGTTTCCGGGTGGACGGCGTCATTTGCTGGTAAAGGGTGGGGCATTTACCCCTTGTTGCCGCGTCGAGAGTTGATGCAGAGGGATCGACTGGCGTCGGACGACATGTTGAAGATCTGCTTGGCGCCTACCAGTGGCGTCTATTAGAGAAATGGCCATATATAGAGGCGCGGGGTATATCTAATAAAAGGCGAAGACGATGATGATCCCGAGTGCCATCGCCATTTTGGTGGCTTGAAGGGACACGAAGGAAGAACGACAGATGCAATGGGCGTGTGTGCACATGTTCGTCTGGATGGGGTAATTTGTCCCGGACTTCTCCCCGCGTCCTCTGTGGTGCCACCTCTTTCTCCCATTTATATACCCGCCCTCTACAATCGGGTACACATTTTTTTTTTTCTTCCCGTCTTGCCCCAGACCTGTGCGGTTTTACTTCTGTTTACCTTTTTTTTTTTTTTTTAATGGACTTTTGTGCATACCAAAAGAAAAAAAATTGATTCGGCAGGAATTTGATTTTTGAAATTCTTGTGTTTATTGCCGCAGTGTAGTGTAGTTGTCTCTCGATGTCTGGTTCAAATGCCGCACGCATAAAAACTTCTGTGTGTGGTTGCATGCCGTGATACTTTTCTGGGGATTGGGATTGGGATTTCCTTTTTTGCTTTATCTTTTGCTTTCTTGGGTATGCGGTGAGATGCATGCATCTAGATGGATACATGAGTGGAGGAAACGTGTGGCGGCTTCTGTTTAAATCATCCTCTCGAAGCCGTAGGGCGTTCCGGTGGGCGTGGCTCTGGCAGTCCCCCGTGTCGCGTGACCACACTCCGCTGTGGTGTATTTGTGATGGTCCGGTCTTTGTCCGGAGTGTGGGAGAAGTCTACCAGTGCGAGTTGTGTGGTGGCAAACAGCGAGGTGTGGAGTGCGGCCCAACGTCTCTTTTCTTCGGCTTTAAGAACGGCGGTTGTGTTTCCGTCACGCCGGGTTTGGGCCACGGCGAAGGCGTGCGTCGTGTTTTTGGGGAAATTCACTCGCATGTCAGGGCCACAGGGACGACCTACACCGATCTCGTCAAGCGAATTCCCACTGCCTGGAAATCAAGTGGCCGCAGCCTAGAGTCGTACAGGGAATGGTGTGATCATGTAATTTTGGAAAAGGAAAATTCTTGTCATGGAACAACGCACACCCAAAGCGCTTTAATTCAGCGGCAACACGTCTCACCTGACGATGTGCAACTTGCCGTGTATGCACTGCGCTTTGCTTTAGCCGTCTACGCCCTGCCGTACGAACTGGGATACTTTAACACCCCCGCTCGCTCCCTCTGGCTTTGGATGCCGTGGTACAATCGTTACACGATTGCGTCGACGGCAGATCAGGTTTCTTCTATTCGCCGTATTCTTTTTGGCGATAAATGCGATCCGTTGCTTGAGGTGGCGTACGCTCGCTATTCCGCCGCTCTCCAGCAGCCGTGTTTTGCTATCTTTCTTGACCATCGCACGCGAAGAGTGGTGGTCGCGTTCCGTGGAACAGTCTCACTGACAGATATTATTACCGACGTGGCTGGCGGTTACACCAACGTCTGCCTGGGTACGTACCGCAGCGCTGTGACGGGTGGGACGGAGGAGTTACGCACAAACGTACCGCGTGGTTTCTACATGAATGTCATGGAGGCGGGAGGACATATCATGAGTGCGCTCAGCGTTATCCGGGAGAGGTATCCTGACTACGCGCTGCTGAGCGTGGGACACTCTCTTGGTGCCATTGAGGCGATTCTTTTCCATCTGCTTTTCTTTTCTCCAACAACACGGCAGGGGGCGGATTTACGTACAATCGCCTTTGCCCCTGCCCCCTGCGTCGAGCAGGCGGTGATGACAAGAGTCAATGAGCTGCTGGGCGAAGAGGCGATGACGTCATGGGTGTACGGTCTGGATGGGGTGGCGCGGCTACAGACAAGTTCTGTGCGTGACCTTTTCTTTCCATCGTCCTCTGCCGGTTCATCGAAAACAAAGAAAGAAGGGAATGAGGCGCAACAGCCGCAGTTGCCGCAACTTTCGATCCCTGGTCGCGTGTTGCATCTAACGGAGGAAGGCACCGTTGTGCTGGACGTTCCTGCCAATGTTCCGTGGCGAGAGAAATTGTTTTTTGGAAAGGAGGCTTTGCTGCACCACCTCCCATCGATGTACGGTGTGGCCCTTCACAAGGCCCTTCTGGCACGTGAGGCGAGCACAAGAGTTTCTGTAGAGATGAGGCCATGATACAAGAGATGGCCAGAACGATCTTGAAATAAAAAACAAAACAAAAACAAAAACAAAATGAGGAGTGAAAAAAAAAAATAGATGCTTCTCTTCTGATGTTGTTTTAGAAGCGAAATTTTTTTTTTTTAATTTATTTTTTATTTTTCAATTTAAATTTTTATCATTATATAAATATTCGTCTTTAAAATGTCTTCATTTCTGGGGGGAAGGAGGAATGCCACTTTTATTGGGTGCGAGTGTTTCACAGCAGCGATGGGCAAGATGATCTTTAGGTCCGGCACACTCACAGTAGAGGAGGTGCTTGTATCCGTGCGCATGTGTTTATTATTTTTTCCTCCCCATCCTTGTGGTGTTATTACCATACACACAGTCGTTGAGGCCTGATAGGCGTTGCTGCCCTTGAAAGAGTTTTTTCCCCCGTTTTTTTTTATTTTTTGCCTGGCTCCGCACTTAAAGATGCGTTGCTCATATTTGGTTTGGGTTTGTCCGTTTTTTTTTTTTTTTTTTTTTTAAGGAAGTTATTAGATGTCGTTTGAGTCCACGGGACACCGCAGCACGGTGGGGAGTTTAGTCAATTCCTTCCGAGGTCGCGGAAACATTCTTCAATCCCTGCGCGGCATTCAGAGGGATCGTGGGACGAGTGCATGGTTTCAGGAATTGGCACAGGAGGCTGAGGAGGAGGGCGACGCCGCCTTCTTTCGCCTTCGAACCCCTTTATTTGAGAAGTCGGCGCGCCCGCACGTGTTTTCAGCAGAAGAGAGGCGGCGTATGGACAAGTATGAGAGTATCGATTACAGTGAGGCCCAGTCCTTAACGTATAAGGCCCGAAAGTTGCATCTAGAGAAGGAGCGTCGCTGGTTGAAGTGGATGATGTTTATCTTGGTGGGAGTCGGCGTTGGCTTGTGGTCGGTGCTTCTTCTTCAAACGCTTGACTTCTTGTCGGCTCAGAAACGGAGTCTTTTGGAGAGATTTGTGGGGTCCCCGGTAGGAAATAAGACGTTGGGCAATGGCACGCAGTCCATTGGACTGACACCTGGCGGAATGCATTGGAAGGACGTGGGCAGAGGTTATTTAGTGTACATCTTGTGGAGCGTCCTTGCCGCCATGCTTCGCTGTGTTGTGCTATC